GAACAGGAGTACTTGTAGCACCTTAGAGACTACAAATTTATTTGAGCATAAGCTTTCGTGGGCTACATCCAATGAAGTGGGCTGTAGCCCACGAAAGCTTATGCTCAAATAAATTTGTTAGTCTCTAAGGTGCCACAGTACTCCTGTTCTTTTTAAAAGAGCAAACAGAATGTTGGGAATCACTGACTGCCGCTGCACATTGAGTGGATGTTTTCAGAGAACTATCCACAATGACTCCAAGATCTCTTTCTTGAGTGTTAACAGCTAATTCAGACTCCTTCATTTTGTATGTATAGTTGAGATTGTTTTCCAATGTGCATTACTTTGCATTTATCAACATTGAATTTCATCTGCCATTTTTGTTGCCCAGTAACCCAGTTTTGTGAGATCCCTTTGTAACTCTTCGCAGTCTGCCTGGGACGTAACTATCTTGAATAGTTTTGTATCATCTGCAAATTTTGCCACCTCACTGTTTACCCATTTTTCCAGATCATTTATGAGTATGTTGAACAGTAATGGTCCCAGTACCAACCCCTCAGGGATACCACTATTTATCTCTCTCCATTCTGAAAACGGATAATTTATTCCTACCCTTTGTTTCCCATCTTTTAACCAGTTACTGATCCATGAGAGGACTTCCCTCTTATCCCATGATGGCTTACTTTTCAAAAGTCAATTTAAATTAAATACATTTTTTTTTAAATTTATATTTTTTTAGAAATCTAGACCTGTTATGTGTTTTGGTGTAACTTGCATTATCCTTATGTTAAATCTGCATTATCCTAACAAAACATTTACTTTATTCATATCTCTTTTATATATCTCATCAGTCCTGACACACACACCCCTGTAAATTCGGACACCTCCCCTAATTTCAATTCCTGGGGAAACCACTTTTTAATGAGACCCTCATGGGTTCTGGCGTGGGGTGTCAAGTGACAACCAGGGGCGTGTGGTCAGAGGGTTTATTTTTCCGGTATTGAAGCAGGTTTTCTGGAGGTATCTGGATAGCCTGTTCCATGATGCAATCTACTTCTCTGGTGGAGTGTCCTTGTTTGATGAAGGTAGTTTTAAATGTGTTATGGTTTGTATCCTGGACTTTCTCCTGGGACCATATTGTGTTGTAATTTGCAGGATCATCCAGCTTATCACGGTTCTGTGCTTCCACTTGAATAAACTGTTTTATTCAATGGCACATTTTATCCTGATGAATCCAAAGGGATCTGTTTTCTGCACTTTTTGAGATGAGCACAAATCCTCTCTCTTTCGTGCTACTTACCAACTCTTGATAAAATTTACATTTTACTTCAGAAGAATTATCTAATTTCATTACTTCAGTCTATTCAGTTACTTGTTACCTACATTTCGTTCAGCTGTAGACAGGCTGAGTCATACTAATGCATATACTGAACCATACTAATCACTTCTTGGCATTATTGTTCAGTAGTTTTCAGATTTACAACAATTAGAATGAGAAACAGCCACCTAGTGAATTCAACACTGTGAAAGAGTTGTTAGCCAATCTTATCAAGAACCATATTATCAGATACCCTGTCTACCTTCCAGAAGTCTCTAGGTGCTAGCAAGCCAACTTCCGTGATAGTTAAGAACTCCACTCACTGCCCTCTTCAAGTCCAGTGACAGCTGATTCTAAACATGCATCTCTCTCCAGTCATCAGTGACTCCTCCCATTTCTCCTTCAGGCTTGTAGACGGAGCTATGAACATTCTTACTACTTTCCAAAGGCATGACAAAAACTTTAATGGTCTTATCACTTTTCTTTTAGCATACAGAATACTTAAAAAGCTTGAAATTAGAGACTCATGTTTCTAAGATAAACAACTTCCAAATTTCTGTATTGTTCATGTAACTACTTCAGAGTAACACAGAAGTTTAAAAAAAAAATGAAAAAAGCCAAACCTCTTTTATCTCACCAGGGTTGAAGATTTTTTCAGAAACAAAAGTTAAAACGTTGAAGACTTTCTCACAACCCTGGATTGTACAGTTTACTATCAAATCTGGCTAAACACCCTATATCAAGGAGGCATACAACTGTTATTTCCTCCAGATGTGTCCCCCCTCCCTTCTCTGGATTGAACCCCAGCCATCAATCCCTCTACAGTCATCATTTTCAGTTAGTCAATGGGAAAGCCAAGACAGTGAACCGTTTATTTCCAATGAAAAAGAAACAGAGTACTCAAAGGGCCTAGGAGTTTTGTCTGTAATTTTGATGGGCTGGGAGTCTTATAGGTTGACACTGTGCTGATTTGAATCTGTTTGTCTCTATATAAATAATTAATTGTATATGTACATTGAGTCTAGAATGGGCACATTCTATGGATTTAATAAAGAAATAAAATCAAAACAATATAAATTCTTTTTTCTTGTATAGACAGGATGATTCAAACATTACACCCCCTAACAATGCTCCCCACTAGAGATATTTTACCAGAAAAGATAATGTAACCAGAAGACATGATAAAAACATATGTGATCTTTATACCTGTAACCCATATATTAGTGATGACAAGGTAATATAATGCACTCTGATATCAACAGAAGCAACAGCAGAATTCAGACAAAGCCTTTTCTCCATCAGGGGCCTCATCCTTTGTCAGCAGTGGGAATTATTTGTACCCTGTAAGGGAGCATTAGGCCACAGGTTGGCACAGCTGTATAAAAGGATTTACCAAGTCTGACCTGAACACAATGCAGTCACATGGATGGAGGAGGATTATAACATAAACCACATAACAACAGCAGAACTGCGACAGATAAGGTGACCTTTTTGCTACAAGACTTCCTCTTCTAATCACCTTACCCTACCTGCCAATCCCTCAGAAATCAAATAATTATTCTGGTACACGCAAGCAAATGCAAGCTTCACATCTCTGCCATGCAGTCAGACAGGATGAATTACCCATTCCCAAAGTTACAAATCAATAAAAGTGTAGGAGGGAATGAGACCATCTCTCTGGCTTTGTCTACCCTGGCAGCATGTAGGACATGGGCGGCGTGTAATGGGGAGGATGGGGAGCTGTGGCAGATTATCACACAGGCCTAAGAGGCCCATGCCCAGGGGCCCTGGTCAATCTGGGGGGCCCCCAGAAAAATCTCCCTCTGCAATGGCCCCAGGGATGGGGGGAGCCCTCGCTCCCTGCCAGGGCCGAGGCGGGGGCACAGAGCTTTCCTGGTCTCGGGGCCACAGCAGGGGCAGGAGGGGGGTGGAAAGGCGTGAGGGGGGGGGGCGGGGGGGGGGAAGAGGTGGAGTGGGGGTGGAACAGGGGCGAAGCCACAGGGGAAGGAGCAGAATGGGGAGGGGCTCCAGGCTTGGAGCTCCAACACTGCAACACCCAGCTGGGAGGGGATGGGGGAAGATGCTCTGGGCTCGGAGCTCTGGCCAGGGCCGAGAGCTCCGCCATGGTCCCAGCTGGGGCTGAGAGCTCAACCCCGGCCACGGCTGAGCTCTCATCCTCCCGCTTGTGGCCCCAACTGAACTCTCAACCCCCCCTCGCCCCGGCAGGGGCTGTGGAGGGGGCTGAGAGCAGTGGGCATGGGCGGGGCCTTGGCCGGAAGAGGCACAGCAAGGGGCTAGCCTCCCCAAGGGGAAGCTTCACCCGTTGCCCATGATGTAGGATACATGTAGCTATACACCACAATGAAAAACAGGCTGCATCCACCCTGCAGTGTAGCAATGTGCAGCAGTGAAAGGCTTGGGCAGGGGCAGGCAGCAGGGAAAGACTTTCGCTGCCGGCAGGACATTAAACTGCTAAAAATAGCAGAGTGGAAATAGGCTGCCCTGCTTCGTTGTGTAGAGAGCCATGTAGGGTACATACCCTAAGGCTCTGTCATGTCTTTACTCACCTAAACTGTGCCTCTCCATCTACACTGTTATTCACACCCAAGCTGGGGGCATGCAGTGTACGTACTCTACACGCCACCATAAGTGTAGACATAGTCTCTATTAGAGATCTGTACATCTCTCCCAGCTGGCTCCTTTTGGAGGTGCTCTCATGAGCTGTGTGGCAATAGCAAGAACCAATGCTGATGTTCAAGCCACACGTGAGCTGCTTTTGGAATTGGCGAGAAAGCACAGGCATTATCATTTCATAAGGAGACAAGATCTGTGGATCACCTCAGCGCATAACAAATTATTCGGGTACTACTGGAGGAAAATTCCATTCACTATGCATGGGCCAAGTACTGACGACACGAACAACTACAATGCTCTTTTAATGTTGCTTACATCTCAAAATTATATACACCACACAGTGAATTTACATATGTGTAATTGCCCGGTCTATTTCCAGCCATCTTAGATGTTGCCCAAAACATCTAACGTCAGATACAGCTTTAAGAGAACAAGAAACATTTTGATTAACTTGTTTTCCCTTAGCAGGAAGGATACTCCTAGTGGAATTGAGGTGTGCACAATAAATGTTATTTAAAGCCCAGCCCTGTTCCTACTGATCTGTTGAATCACAGAATCATAGAAGATTAGAGTTGGAAGGGACCTCAGGAGGTCACCTAGTCCAACCCCCTGCTCAAAGCAGGACCAACCCCAACTAAATCATCCCAGCCAGGGCTTTCTCAAGCCAGGCCCTACAAACCTCTAAGGATGGAGATTCCACCACCTCCCTAGGTAACCCATTCCAGTGCTTCACCACCCTCCTAGTGAAAGAGTTTTTCCTAATATCCAACCTAGATCAATGCAGTCAGTATCTAAGTAAAAAGCAAAACTACTGACATAATGAGCCAATGATCATGATCTCCATGTTTTGGTAGTTTAGTGAAATAATTCTACAGCTCTATGATGAAAGACCACAGAAACACAGCTTAGTACACCCCAGCCTTTTTTCACATAACTGAAAGTTGCTGACTGGTAGCTTTCTAAAATGAGCTCTGATTTTAAACTATTCCTGAAGCAGAATGAGGAAATAAAACAAATGCAACCCAAATAAAGGACTGAACCAAGAACTTCCATGGAAAGAATTACTTACATCCAACGAATCTTCATTCACTAGGATGAGAGACATATTCTGAGAAACAAGCCTGCAGGAGTACCCTGTAAAAGATAAAAACAAGGGTTTCCTTGTGAAAATTACAAATATTTTAATTTCACTTTTGATATAGCACCTTTTACTTGAGGATCTCTAAGGACCAGATTATGAGCTCCATGGTGAACAGTTATTTACAGGAGTAGTCCGTTGTGAGTAACTGATCAGCAATATGAATAATGAATGGAGTGGTTTTTTGTTTGTTTTTGTAAGGGTGGCATAGAGAGACACACATTAACAGCAACATAAGTCATTTAGTCAGACTACAAGATTTTTTGTTGCGCTAGTATATTTTATAGGAGTTATTGAAGACTGACATATGAAAGAATCACTTTAACCAACAACTGAAATGCAGCCTCCTCTTGAGTGGAAAATAGCAGCTGTTTAGCAGCATACGGCTGTAATGCACAACATTTAGGTCAGTAAGTAAAGAAGAATTTTGAAAATTGTAATTATTATTGTCAAGGATGTTTCTGCCTGATGCTCTTCATAACTTACGTTAAGTATAATTATGGTCCATAATAATATGGTTTTGCAATAATATTTTGGGCAATATTTTACCATGAATACATTTGTGTTGACTAGATAAGGATTACTTTCTACAAATAAAAGAGGATGGGGGCCAGCACTGAGACCGTATGCCTCTGTTGAGAAAATGATGAAGCATAGCTAGTAAAACAGAGTGCACAATAGGAAAGCTGCACAGTCCATGACTTTCTGTGCTATTCCACCCAAAGAGACTCACTGTCAGAAAGAGTAATTAAACCTTTTAGTGGGTAATGACAAACAAAAAACAGACGTCACAAGAAAAAACACATAAGGATTATTTCGGCTCCAGTGTAATTCCAGCCTACTACTTCCATTAAGGGGGAAAAAAAGTCCCACATGCTGAATTTAAGGGGGAAAAAATTGGAATTCTTAAATTAGCTCCAGACTGAAGAGCTACATTTTTTATTTTCACTGAAAAAAATGGGATATTACAACTTTAATAATTTCCCTCCATGTCAGACTTATTCTTTCCCCAGGGAACGGCTGCAGCTTTATGCAGTAGACTGTTACAAATTCAGTATAACTAATTCAAAAGGATTTTCTAGTAGTTTTTGATTGGAACAACAGCTGCAACAGTGAGCAGTAATTTTGAAACTGCTGCTCGCTGTTTTATTTTACATCTTTCAAATCAAGCAAGACGCCATTTGACAGCTGGAGCAGGATGAAGAAGTTCTGGAGAAAACGTTAAGCAGTTCTGCTATATGTCTTGGCAATTATGGAGTCAAGAGGGCCCAATCCTGCAACCAGTGAAGTCAATTGAAGTTTCATCATTGAGTTAAATAGGAATAGGATAGGGCTCAGAAAGAGGGCACAAAACACAAACCAATCACCATTTTATAAGATTCTTATATATTATGCACAATTTTGGACCTCTAACATCTTAAAATATAACATCAGTGTGTTAAAAGTATAGTAATTGGCACTTAAAGTTGCCAAATGACGTTTATAACTATATATTCTATACAAATGCTTAATATAGTTACTTCTGGCAGTGCTAATATGGCAAATTAAAACTAAAAGTTCAGACACTCCGGTTTGGTAAAATGAGATCAACTTCTGGATCAAAGCTAGGTATAAAATGTCAATCCACACTTGTAAATTGGGGTCTAGATCCTTAATCCAAAAACGTAACTAAGTCCATAAAGTGGCTGAGACAGGCACCTCCGGGACTTTTATTTACCTGAAATTAACCGTTAAATTAAAGCTAGAAGGGTGCCAGAAGTTATGCACAGTGATTGTAAACCTTTTTACTTACAAGGGAACTTTAAAATGTAATTTAAAACAAGCTTTACAAACATGATTCAAACTGTACACAAAATGTTACTGCTGAACATTAGACTAATTATAGTGATCATTTAACGGCACAGTTTTAAAAAGGTATCCCTCTGCATCCCAATATTTGCTTTATTTTGAGCATGTGTACAAATTTCAAAAAGATATGAATTAGTGGAAAACAATGCCAGATAAGATTCAGTCAGTCACAGAACAAGCCTATGTAAATCATATTACTTCACTAATTAACATAGACACTATTCTGAAAGGTCTGTACTTACATCCATTGTTGCATTTTACTAGCTATGGCAAATAAAAAGAAAGTGCTTTTGTGGTTGTTGACTATTGTCCCTTGAGGAGCAAGCTGAGATCAACAAACTGATTTTACAGAAGATTCACACCAGATGCAGTGGTAAATGACTCTTAAAAATATTTAGATATTAAGCCACCCACCCTATTTCTACTAGAAATACTACCACTTCAGAAAATTCTGTTTAATCCATTTTAGTGCCTTTGAATTCTACAGGTACATTGAGATCTTACACAAGTCCAGTAAGCAAACAATAACTATATGAGTCATGCAGACTGCATCTGAAATTTCACTTACACTAACTGAAGCCAATTTTAAAGCTAAATAATGAACATTACCGAGTGTCTGAAACTTTGCTATAGTAATGCAAGTTCGGTCACAGAGTTCCAGAATTTTGGCAAAAGGCCACTCAGAAAATTACTAACAGTCTACCTGCAGATCTGTGTACATAATGGCTCATAGGTCACTTTTGTTCAAACAGCTAAAGGCCTTAAAGTCAGAGCTAATTTGAGGATGCTAAGAAAGTATCTGCTTCAACAAGAAAACAGCACATGTTACTAAGATAGGTAATTCCTAAAGGAAAAAAAGCTAATGGCTGTTGGTAAAGATTTGTAAACACGCAAAGAAAGAAAGGCAAGTGTGAGTGGTGCTTTATACAGGCTAACTGTAGCTTTCTTTGAGGACTGTTTGGTAAGGATGATGGTTGCAGACTTTGGCAACAAGGTAACACCGGGACTATATATGTATATATGTGCATGACAGCCTGTCCATTCACAAGAGCAGACTGAGTGAAGCTCTGCTTCTCTTCGTCTGATAAGAAGGGCTGAAGGACTTTAGAATTAAGTAGATAGGCTCTTATGTACTTGCTTGTCCTATATGACATGGTGGCACATCCGTAAGCATTTGAGACAAGTAAACATGTGGGCACAAGTTCCATAAAACAACAGACATTTGCTATGGGATAGAAATCCAAATTAGGAAACTTGGTTCCAATTCCATTCTGTCTTCCACCAAACTTCCTAAAACTGTTTGGTACTTCAGGATCAGGATTGAGATGCGTGCATTGCTCATCAGCCTTACCAAGAAAATAATTCAAGATCTGGAGAGATGCTGTTCCATTTGTTTCAAACTCATAGGCTGTGTTTTCAAAGAGGCCTCTAAAAATACACCTAAAATATATATTCTTTAAAAATCCACATTTGCAATGCAAACCAGACAGACAATCAGAAGGGCAGCTGCTCCTTTTATTATATTATTACTATTTACTATTTGTATTGTTGTAGCACCTAGGGCTCTACTCTGGACCAGGACCCCACTGGGTTAGGTGCTGTACAAGCACAATAGGCACGCATGCCTGCTTGCTCAGATAACTGAAGGGTTTTTCATAAGCAAGCTCTTGCACTTGCATACAGTGCAGGCACTTTTTCTAGATGGTCATGGAAAAGTTGGCCTCCTCTACCACGGCACTGGGAATGAGACGGGCTTTTTAAATTTCTTACTAATAACTAGTTGTTTATTTTTGCTGTAGGCTTTCCCTTCTTGTATCTCATTAGATGGCAGTGCCACATTAGAATATTCCGTCACAGCATGAAGGGCGGTGAAGTAGAAGCTGGCACCCAGAAAGTTTCTGTAACATCCATTGATGGGTCTCAATGGCATGAAGCAAGACCAACTCTTGCTCCCTTTTATGGGCATGAAGCTGTGAAGGGGTCAATCTACCACAAAAGCACTTTCTTTTTATTTGCCATAGCTAGTAAAATGCAACAATGGATGTCAGTACAGACCTTTTAGAATAGTGTCTATGTTAATTAGTGAAGTAATATGATTTACATAGGCTTGTTCTGTGACTGACTGAATCTTATCTGGCATTGTTTTCCACTAATTCATATCTTTTTGAAATTTGTACACATGCTCAAAATAAAGCAAATATTGGGATGCAGAGGGATACCTTTTTAAAACTGTGCTTTTAAATGATCACTATAGTTAGTCTAATGTTCAGCAGTAACATTTTGTGTACAGTTTGAATCATGTTTGTAAAGCTTGATTATACACCTGTAGGTGAAGACAAGCTTGTCACACAGCACAAAAACTATCATTTTCACATAGATGAAGCTGTAGAGGGCTGAGCTGGATAGGTCCTTCCTGAGGACTGTGTTGGTGCAGTCAGTTTGGCTCTGCTGGCATGGTGGCAAGGGCTAAGGAAGCAGTGACTCAAGAGATGTGGCACTTTGTAGTATATATGGATGGACAAGGATATCTTGGCCAATTGCCCCTACCTGTTCAAACCAGACTTATTCCACTGGCTTAAAATTGGCAGGTGACATTTTCAACATCAATCTCCAGAGTCATCTGAATTCCAGCCAAAAAGGTCATGTGACCATTTATAGACAGATGGAAAACAACATCCATAGCCCATCTCCCCACCTATTCTGTATTGTCCTTACGGTGGTATTTTAGCGGCTCTGAAAGATCTCAAGGAAAGGGCCACCACCACTTCCCTGAGGCTCGGTCTACACTAGGAATTTATGTCGGTATAACTACGTCACTCAGGGCTGTGAAAAATGCACACCCTTGAGTGCTGTAGTTATACCAACCTAACCCCTGGTGTAGACAGTGCTACGTCGACAGGAGGGCTTCTCTCGTTGACATAGCTACCACCTCTTGGGGAGAAGAAGCACCTGCGCCGCTGGAAGAAGCTCTCCCACCAGCATAGATAGGACTTCTTCACTAAGTGCTACAGCAGCACAGCCGCATTGGCGTAGCTGCACCGCTGTAAGTGTAGACAAGCCCTTAGAGTATTTACTCCACCATCTAATATGTCTCACTGCAGGACGGTTCTCCTGATATTTCTCCTACATTCTTCTTTCTCTAACTTCATACCATTACTTCAAGTAGTTCCCCTTTGTATCATGCTGAAAAATTCCTCTCCCTCCTTAGTGTACACACTCTGGTAGTCATGACTTAGCCAAGATTCAGAGATTTAGGGTGAAATCCTGGCTTCATTGAAGTCAATGGCAAAATTCCCACTGACTTCAATGGGGCCAGGATTTAACTCATAGTTCCTTTAATCTTTCCTCATATGTCAATCCCTCAGACAATTAATCTTTTTTTTTTTTTTTTTTTTTTTTTGTGTGTGTGCTCTTCTCTGAACTCTCTCCAGTTTGTCCATATCTTTCTGGAAATAAGATACACAGGACTGAATGATATATTCCACAGAAGTCTTTCCCCAGTAGAAATCAATATGATATTTATATATATACACTACACAGGAAAAACTACAATAAAAGAACATTAAGGTTGAAAAGCCAAGCATTCAGATGTTAAGAAATGCCAGAATAAAGGTTCCCTGTGCAACTTTATTTCAGCCCCAATTGTTCATATGCATTATCAAACAGTCTTCAGTCACATCTCATATTTTCCACAGGACCCCGCCTCAAGATGGACAGTGCTCACTTAATGAGCAGCTATTTCCCCCCCACATTGTTCAATGTGTGGCTCTATCCCTTAGTTACTGCAAACTATTCAAACCCTGCTCTGAAGACAAATGAATTTCCTCATGGGCTTTTCTATGGTGCTCATCATTATAGTATATGAGTGTTTCACAATTTATTTTCAGAACACCTCTGAGACGAGGAGGTATTTATTTGTTCTGTTTTACAGATGGGGAACTGAGGCAGAGAGAGATTCAGGTCAAAAGTATTCACTAATTTTGGGTGCGATACCTAGGATCTGATTTTTCAGAGTACTTAGCATCATATAGCACTTTATATGCACAAGCACAGCTCCCGCTGCCTCCAATTGCAGCTCTGTGTAATCAGCACTTCTGCCAATCAGACCCCAGGATCTCAAGTCAGGCACCTAGAAAATGAGAAACACACAATTAGGGTTTGCCTAAACAACCCTCAGCAGTGAGCCTATAAGCCTGGGTCAAAAGACTTCCTAAAAATAGTCACCACGCTACAAATAGCTGTGTAGGCATTGCAACTCAGGCTGGAGCTTGGGCTCTGAAGCCTAAAGCGTGAGCCGCAAGTTAAAAGCACTGTTTATACAGCTCTTTTTAGCATGGTCATGTGAGCCCCGCAAGCCTGAGTCTGTCAACCCAGATTCGGAGGTTTGCTGCCATGGGCTGCTGCCGGCTGTGCAGACATACCCTCATTGACTACTCTGAAAAATTTGGTTTAAGTGACTTGATTAGCATCACATAGGAACTAAAATCCAATGTACCAGGGCAGCATTCAACTGCCTTCTCTTTCTGTAATCCCCTGGCTCATTCACTACACATCTCCCAACTGGTGCAAAAAATTAAGCAATGGCCCGACAACAGACTCCTTCAGTACACAACCCTGATTCATCCTCAGAGCAGGTCTGTCCTATGCACTGAATGAGGCAGATATTCTGTGGAAGAAATTGTATATGATCATGTAATTGAAGACTGTATCATAATGCATACGCACCTGGGTCTGAATTAAGGTTTCACAGGCAACCTTAATTGTGGTATTTTCTAAGTTTTAAGTGCTTGACTTTGCAACTTTGATAATGTTCTTTTAACGGATTTTTGTGTATACTTTTCTATACTGAAAAAAACAGCTGAAAAAAAACAAACTCCATCATATGCATCATATTGACACCCACATGGGTCACCAGCAGGGTTGAAACCTTTACATCCATAGCACAGCTCTCTGCCACTTGTGCTAATGGAGTAGGTGACAGCAGAAGTTGTCATTCTCTGTGTGGACAAGCACTAACTAGAGGTGATACACACACACTTTGCCAGAGGGTTTCACAGATATTTGCTGCAGCAGAGGAATGGTGAGACTCAGGAACGTTGGGTTGCATTCCAGGCTCTGGAGGGGAGTGAGCTCTAGTGGGCACAGGTTCTCCTACCTGTGCCCCCCAAGCTTGACCCTTTCTGTCACATCCCTTCCAAACTGGCCCTGTCCCAGCCTTGTCTTCCCCACTTCTAGCTCCTCATCCCAGTCCCAATCTCCCTGATTACCCAGCTCCAGTCTCCATTCCTCAGGCTCCTCATCCCAAACCAAGTCTCCTTTGCCCAGTAAATCCTTGCCTCACCCCCTGGATTTTTCAATCCGAGTCTTCTTGTACAGCCATTCCCAGTTCCTATCCCCACCCTCTAGCTACTGAACCCTAGTCTCTTTGCCTAGCCAGTCTCTCCTTCCCTCCCACTTCCTCATCTGCTCTGTCTCTCTTCCCTCCAATCTCCAGATACACTCCACATCCCCATGTTCCCTATCCCTCCTGACTCCCATTCCCAATCTCCATCCCTAGACTCCTTGTCCAATCTCAGTTCCCCTCTTTCCCATCCAAGCTCCTTGTCGAAGTCTTTGCCCACCCAATCACAGTTCTTCCCCCTCACCTCGACCACTCAACAGATAGTTGTTGCTCCTTCTCCCAACTTCTTCCCACAGCCCCACTTGTTCCCAGTCCAGTCTCCCATGGCAGGTTCCTTGTCTCAACCTATTTGCCCCCAGAACCAATTCTTGCCCCTTTGCCTTCCAATCAGGCAGCTTCCTCCTCCACACTGCCTGGGTTCAGAAGGGGGGCATTAGGAAAACAAGAGAGCAGCTTCCCACCCTCAGTTCATGTGCCTGCCTGACCCTGGCCCAGCCACAGGTGCCTAAAGCTGCAACTGCAGGTAAAGTCCTGCTTAGCCCTGGGCTGTAGCATGCCCAGAGTGGATGGAATCTTTGGGGAATTAGCTCCAAAGATCTAGCAAGTCTCTGGACATATGCAAATGGACTTTTCAAAGGCTTAGGGCTGGTCTACACTAGAAACTTACATCAGCACGAATTCAAGAGCTCTGAAGGACCTCAAGAATTAGGTGGCAGACCAGCTCTCAAAAAATATGGAAAAGCTCATTAAAACGAGCTATGGTGTCCACCCTTTTCCCATTACTACCCATCTGTGATGGGGTGCACCAACCCCATGCTAGGCTTGAAGGGATTAAAGGACAATACTAGGTCCAGGTAACCCCGCCCCTCCACACCTGCAGAGAATGCCCCAACTGGAGAAGGGATCAACTCAGCTCGGAAGGCTGGGGAGGAAGACAGACCTACTGGAAGGGCTCCTGGACAAGAGCACCGGAGAAGTCTACTGAGAGGAAGAAGACTGTATGTTGAGCGCAGTTGGGGCTGAATATTTACTTATCTTTTCTTTTTACCTTATATTGGACTTTGAGCTGGGGGAGAGAAGCAGATGGTAGGAAGTGACCAAGGGAGGGTAACTCAGGGGGACTCAGGGTCAACAGTGTCTGGCATCCTAATTAGGGCCCTGGGTCAGAGCCCTGTGGAGTGGGAGGGCCCAGGCTCCCCTACCAACTGGCCCCGGTGCAGGAGGGGCTTAAGTCTCATGCCCACTTCATTCCCCATCTGGTAAGAAGAGAGACTGGACTGAAAGACTTTCCCACTGGGAAGTGGCACTAGGTGTCAAGAACTTTTTCATACAAGCTGATTTCCCCCTACTGCTGGAATGCTACTTTCACCTTCAAATATACAAACTAGACTGCACCTTAAACTCTAATTAACATTTTTCATTCAATGGAGGTTACAATGGCTTCTTAGTCACTAACACCAGTTACCTTAACGCACACATTTGCTACATATCTTCATAGCTCTGTATCAGGTGAATTCAAAGCAAAATAAAATATGAAGGTTGCTGTTGCTACCTATGTTGAGAGCTGTTTCCTGTTTGTCCCCTGTCAGGATCCATATCTTGATTTCTGCTTTCATTAGTGTTGCTATAGTTTCTGGAACACCTGCTTGAAGGCGGTCCTCAATGGCTGTAGCTCCAAGAAGCAGTAAATCCTAAAACAAACATCAGAATTTGAGGGGTTGTTTTCTTTAGGCCAATATCAGCTTAGACCACACTTAAAAGGGAATTCATGACTGCATGCTGCACCTCATCACTAATACAGTGTTTTGACAAGAGATGAAGAAGTTACTCACCATGTGCAGAAACAATGGTTCTTCAAGATGTGTCCCCCTATGGGTACTCCATTGTAGGTGTGCTTGCGTCCTTGTGCTGCTGATCAGAGAACTTCAATAGCAGTGTCCAGTAAGCCCACACATCCGCTGTCTCTCCTCGTGCTGTGCCCGAGGCTAGTCAGTGCGTGCGGGCTAACCCCCCTAAGTTCCTTCCCTAGCACAGAGTCATTGACAAGAACTCCAAAGTAGAGGGAAGAGGGTGGGTTGTGGAGGGACACACATCTTGAAGAACCATTGTTACTGCACAAGGTGAGTAACTTCTTCTTTGAGTAGTATCCCTATGGGTGCTCCACTGTAGGTGACTCCCAAGCAGTATCGTTTCTGGAGGGCCAGGACTTCAGAGTCTGGTCCATTACAGATGGCAGTACTGTGGAGCCAAAGATGGCGGCGGAGTCTCTGGTGATCACATAGTGTTCTGTGAAGGTGTGGGCTGACACACATGTCGCCGCTCTACAGATCTCCGAGATAGGAACATTCTTGAAGAAGGCAATGGATGAGGAAATCGACCTTGTGGAGTGTGTACAAACAGTCTGGAGGGGTCATACTGCAAACTTGGTAACACTGTCTGATGCAAGTTGAGACCCATTTGGAAAGCCTTTGGGCTGATACTGCTGAGCCCTTGGATCTTTCCGCAACAAAGAGGAAAAGCTTAGGGGACTTCCTGAAGGCCTTAGTCCTGTCCAGGTAGAAGGCCAGGGCTCTCCTGACATCGAGGGTATGCAATATAGCCTCCCTGCTGTCTCGGTGAAGCTTGGGGTAAAAGATTGGAAGGTGAATCAACTGATTCATGTGAAACGGGGAGGTAACCTTAGGGATGAATTCTGGATGTGGCCTAAGAGTAACCTTGTCAGTGAAGAATATATAGCGGGGATGCACCATCAGAGCAGTTCTCTCTCCTATTCTCATGCGCAAGGAAATCACTATCAGGAAGGCCATTTTCATGGAAAGGTATGTCAGTGAATAGGTGGCCATAGGTTCAAAAGGAGGCCTAGTCAAAGCTTTCAGTACCAAGCTTAGGTCCCACATGGGAGTCAGAAGTCGAGGTTGTGGGAAAAGGTTTACCATACCCTTGAGAAACCTGGATGTGACAGCACTGAGTACCCCTCAACAGGCTGGTGGAAAACTGTTATAGTTGCTAAGTGAACCCTGAGACAGCTTAGAGATAGACCCCATTTCATTAGGGTCAATTCATAGTCTAGGTAGGATATGTGGAAGAGTCACAGATGTCGGGGAGATTTGTTAAGAAGAGCACCAAATCATGTTTGCCAGTAAGTATGTCAAGTTAAGGACTTTCTGCTGTGCAACAGAACCTCTTGTACCTCCCTTAACAGGAGCTTTCTAGATGTTGGACCCAAGCAGAACCCATGCCTTGAGGTGGAGAATCCCCAAATCGGGATGTAGGGTACGTCCTCTGTTCTTTGAGAGGAGGTTCGGAATGGCTGGGAGAGGGATTGGTGGGCACGTTGTGAGCTGTGACAGGTAAGGGTACCAGGTCTGCCTTGGTCAAGTAGGAGGAATCAGAATGACGTGGGCTCCGTCTTTATTTTCTGCGGGACCTTCAATAGTAGGGGAAATGAAGGGAAGGTGTTATTATACTGACAGATGAAGAGAAGGGAGTTACCGTAAAAGTGGAGAACCAGTGTTGACAGGGCCAATTCAATCAGGGTGGATGTAGTCCACTCCCAATAATTGATGAGGAGGTGTCAATACCAGGAGAGGGAAAGTTGCTTTTTGTAGTGAGCCAGCCACTTCCAGTCCCTATTCAAGCCCAAATTAATGGTGTTAAATTTGCATATGAATTTTAGTTCTACAGTTTCTCTTTGAAGTCTGTTTTTGAGGTTTTTTTGTTCAAGTATGGCTACTTTTAAATCTTTTAAATCTGTTATAATGCCTGCATCTGTAATTTTCACTCCATGCATCTGAAGAAGTGGGTTCTTTACCCATGAAAGCTTATGCCCAAATAAATCTGTTAGTCTTTAAGGTGCCACCGGACTCCTTGTTGTTTTTGTGGATACAGACTAAGAAGGCTACCCCCTGATACTTGACATCAGGCCTGAGAGCCACCTTCATGAAGATGGTCATCTGTCAGAGCTCTCTGTGCTTACGAGATCGTGGAGGGAGTTGTTGGCAAAGACCACACTTTTGCTGGATGTGGCCTTCCCTGAGACAGTGAATGCACTGGGAGTGCTTGTCTGCAATCGGGATCGCCTCTTTGCAAGTAAGGCACTTCTTGAAGCCTGGGAAACCAAGCACACCCCATTGGTGGGGAAGGGTCCCCAGTGGGGGAGAAAAGAGAGGGGGAAAATAAAGTATTTTTTAATTATTATTTTCAAGGGTAAAATAAGAAAGGAGAAAAAAACTAGAACTATAACTAGGAGACTAACTAGCTATAGATATATAAAATAAAGCAATAGTCTTATAATAGCTCCATCTCTAGCCATGGGCAGTTGAGAAGGAACTGAGGAGGGTTCGCCCATGCGTGCTGACTAGCCTAATGGCGCAGCACGAGGAGAGACAGCACATGTGCAGGCCTAGTGGACACTGCTACTGAAGTTCTCCAATCAGCAGTGCAGGGACACGAGCACACCTACAGTGGAGCACCCATAGGGTCACTACTCAAAGGAGAAACACAGTACGGTAATTTTTTGTGTGGTTCTTCTATTTCCTCTGCGTACAATCCACATTTTAGAGGTGTATAATGGAGCCAAATGTTTCTGATCAGAAAAATGGCAACATTTCAAAAGCAATTAATTGAAGTTACACAACTTTAACGTTAACCAGTGGATGAACATACATACTGGTGCATTCATTAATCACCATAGCAATATGCTTGAACGGTCACAATCTGTATTTCTTAAGCTCACAAAACAGAAATCACCTAGAGTCACATCATTTAAACTATTTCCCCTCCCATAAAATGTACACACAGCCTGCATACAATCACTCAAGGCTAAAATTATTGCAATTATTTACGGACATAATCACATCATATGTAACACAAATGGAATGAATATTGAACAATCCAAGTATCTGTACTGTATATACATATACCATATTCCTGGAAAGAAAAAGAATGTCTCATACAACTAGTTAGTGCTACAGAGCTTTGCATATTTTTCTGAAATTTTAGGGCCATTGCAGGAAAAGATTTGGCCATGTTACAAAAAATATGGCAGACAAAATGCTGCAGAAGTAAAAGCAGCAAACTCTGCCAAATAAAGCCGCAGTCCTATCTGCCCGTTTTAACCCTGAAAGCATTTAAGTAATTCATCAGCCAAAGGAGAGGGGATTTTTTATACATTTTGTAATCATTTAACTTAGTTATTTGTAACTTTACAGATATTGTCCAGGAAAAATTTCAGCAGCATAGACTGAAAAAAGTGTCTTTTGGATTGAGAATTAGAAAAATAAATATGAAAACTGGAGTGGATACAACAGTAGAAAAGTGAGAAAGAGCGAGAGTGTGCATACGTGTGTGTAATATATACATATATTCCAGCAGCTGTATTTATTAATTCAACATGTGATACATTTAGCAAAATAATCCTGCTTGAATCATAGAATATCAGGGTTGGAAGGGACCTCAGGAGGTTATCTAGTCCAACCCCCTGCTCAAAGCAGGACCAATCCTGCACTAAATCCCCAAACAGCCCCCTTAAGGATTGAACTCACAACCCTGGGTTTAGCAGGCCAATGCTCAAACCACTGAGCTATCCCTCCCCCCAGACTATGAAACTATTCACATGCATAAGGTAAGCAGGATTTAGCCCTCAGCAGCATAAACGTCTGCAGTTGTTACCTTTTCAATGATCTCATAGCACTCCTCCATCTTTTGAGTTCTGTCTTTCAAAATTGTGCTGGTTTCATTATAAACATTTAACCACTCTCGATAAGAATTTTCTGACAGGTCTGCATATGCAATGCACAGAGTCCTCAAACCTACAAAACAGAATATAGATGTTGCACACATTAACCTACTGATGGGGAGGATCGCATCATTAAAATCCTTCTGTTGAATGAACCAGCTGATGCTAAACACCTGGCCCCCTCACTGGAGTCAATGAAAGTTTTGCACACATAAGTAATGCAACATCGAGCTCTAGAAAGGCAAGACAATCTCCCAGTACAGTTTGGAAACATTTGGGTTTTTCCACCAACTTCACCCAAATGGGGCAGATTATGAATTTACTGACACTGGCGTAAATCTAACCAATTCCATTGACTACCCTGGATTTACACCAGTATAACCAAGATCAGTAGCTGGCCTAACATGCACAAACCTCTCCCCAATTTTCAGCAATCTAGTAATACTGGAGCAACAACAGTGTCATCTTTCATCTAATTTTCCATTTGAGGCTGAAAGTGATTTGTTTTAAATGTTAATTACTATAAGTTACACAACCCCAATGAGGTTGGTAAATATGATCATTATTATATTTTAACAGCAGGTATTTCATATATGCAATGCTACTCATCCCAAATTATTGCTCATCCCAACACTTCCTTTCAGAAAAGAGAATGTATTCTCCCCCTCCGTGCATGCATATAACTCATAGCTATATGAATGGGAGTTACACCTACACAATACATAGAGAATAGGCCCCTTGGAGTATGAAAGAGATCGTTTTATTAGACGGCTGATCAAGTTTAACATATATGAGACCATGTCTACACTACAAAATAAGTTAACCTAATGTACACTGGCATACAGCTATTGCAGTTATTAAATTGCTTGTGTGTGTGTGCACACATGGCACCTTGTGTCGGCACGTGGCACCTTGTATCGATTGTACTGTCAGTGTGGGGCATTGTGGCATGGCTCCTGAAAGCCAGCAACAGTTGATGTAAGCGTCAACCTAATTATAGAAACTGTGACTCTACGCTGCTCAGGGAGGTGGTGTTACTGAATTGGCATAGAGAAGCACTTACGTCAGCGGGAACCAAATTTAAATGAAGACTCTTCCACAGCTAGGTCAACACAAGGCATCTTACATCAACCTAACTGTGTAGTGTAGACCAGGCCTAAGTAATGATTTTTATTCTGGCATGGGTCAGTCAGCAAAAGGAGGAAGCATGCCATATAAAATAGAAAGGCTTTATTATTTGGGGTTAGGGGAGTTCAAAGAACAAACTGGAAAAAATAGGACTTAGGAAAAAATAACCATCAATTCATGTTTTTACAGTAATAAAGTAAAAGGTATATAAAATGAACAAAGACCATATCCCTTTTAGCGCTTCCTTGTGAATGAATGTGTCATGGATTTGTTACCAGTAAAATAAAAAGTTGGCATGTTTGATCTTAGATTGTAAGCTCCTGGGGCAGTGCCAGTGAGCCAGATTCAGATATGAATCTACATGAGTTGAAGTTGTAATGCACATCTTTTTCCCGGCTCTTTCAGCTTGTATGTTACACTAGTTTAGACACTTAGGGCCTAATTCTCATCTCTTCTGATTTTACACTGCTGTAATTCCATTGATTTCAATGTAGTTACTCCTGATTTACACGTGTAAAAGTGAGATCAGAATCAAGTCCCTACTCTCCCTTATTCTTATGCAGGACTCAGTACTGCTCCCACTGAAATCAGTTTCACCATGATTTCAACAGAAGCAGGATCAGCTTGTAAACTCCTTTTTTAGACTTACACATGGGTAAGTGAGTTTACCTTACATATACGACACATCACCCTATGAATTTGTCTCTGTGTCTTTATTTTTGTCTTGTTCAGCACTGAACAATTTGTTGGCATTTAAAAATTAATACGTAAAGTACTAATAATAATTCAAAAAATTAATTCATACTTGCATGTTGTTTCACTTACCTTCTGTGGCAAAGTATTCAAGATGCAATAGTGTTTGCTCCATATACTGGGAATCTTTTGAAAGTCTCTCAAAAATAACATTATCCTATCAAAACCAAATTAAATATAAAGAGTAAATTCACATGTAAACTCTTCACTCATGTACCTACAATGCACAAGTGTTCGACCCCTCTATATCTAACTGATGTGAGGTGCCTAAAGTGGACATGATAATATCTGAAAATGAAAATACATACCATAATGAATTTTGGTTTACCTATGAAATGGATCTAGCTCCACTTAGAAAACCAAAGCTGGAATATTACAGTTTCTACCACCATATATGAACTCCAAGCAGAAGTGAAAAGGGGTGGGATACTGTAATTGCTTTGCAAATACAAAAACACACATTGTTTCTTTAGATTTTTCTTCCCTTACCCCAAACTTGTTACACTGTTATTTAAATTTAGAATACAGTGACAGCAAAGATGGAATGCTCCATTTTGAATTACTGAAGTGAGACTGGGTTTTCCAAGAACAGAAGAGTCCTGAACAATAAAAAACACAGTTCCAACACAGATCCATACTTAAGAGTTTATCTTGCAATTCTTACTCAGGCAAAACTCCCATTTATGTCAACGACAGTTTTGCCTAATTAAGAAGTCAGAACAATAAGCAACATAGGTTGGATTCCATTGCTGAGAATTGCCTTAGAAGCACCATCCACTACTGCCTGTGGTTATTTCTGGGACTGATAAAGGTCTGGGGTGGAGGGGAAATGAAGGGAGAAAAGTTGCCTGAGAAATCAGGAACAGAAAAAAGGTGTGAAAGACATAAAAGAAAAGGAACTTCATTTTTAATATCTAGATGAACTTCAAATATAGTTGTACATAAATAAATAATTTATAATATCACTTTCATTATTTTATGAGACAAAGACAGGAATATATTCAGGGTTCTGCCCAATAAATGCAAACTCACTTTCAAAAGTTATGGCAACTATTTTTCTTAAAACAAAACAAGTTGATTTTTGGTGTCATTCTTGCCTCCCCTGATCTTGCGATTGTTGCGGCCCCTTTGCTGCTGCTAGAGGGTATTCTCCTGTTCCCACTGAAGTCAAGGCAAAACTTCCACTAACATCTATGTAGCAAGATCAGACCCACAATATCTCTCCTCTTTCTTCTTCCCAATGCTAGTTCTGTGATGGGTAACAGCTGTAACATTCAGCAACACAAAACTGACAGAAAGAGGAAGAAGGAGCACAGCAGTGTGAAAATGCAGATGTCAGACATGGTCAGTTCTGTTGGGTCCAGATTTGTGTGTGACTTTCAAAAGTTTTAAGCAATGTATAATTACAGTGGCCTTGATTCACCTCTGTTATTCCACTTTCATGTTGACATAACTCCACTGAAATCAGTGGAGCTACGCTGGAGTATAGTAGAGATGCATCCAGCCCTGAATTTCAAATGATTTTTTAAAAGTGTGTTTAAAAAAACACACACACTGTAGTAAATTAGAGCCTTACGGTAAAACGTCACAGAAGTAGCACTGTTAAAATAAACAGAGATTTAATTCCACATGATAAAACTGAAATCACTTTCCACTGAATTTAAAGCCACACCCTGCTGGAGTTGTTGATGCCTCTCATTTTTTACAGTCGTTTCATTTTGATACATTATCCCTCCTGTTGGTGAAAGTAGAAGCACAGCATATTATGAGCAGGGACAACTAGCAGCAGCAGCAGCAGAGATGGGAGAAAGCAGATCACGAGACAGGCAGGGCTAAATGCTTGAGAACCGACTCCAGTTTTGAAGGTTCAGACCACAGTGTTTAGATGTCTAACTTCCTGACTGTACCTGCACATCAGGGGAGACATCCTGCCTGCACTGAAGTCAATGGCAAGACTCCCATTGACTTTAACGCAGGCAGGATTTCACTTCAGGCACTGAGAGTCCTAAATACTATGTGTGCCTGCAAACAAAATCAGAGAACAGGTTAAGGCTCCTTAAACATTCGGCCCCTAATATGTGCAGCTAACAGATATTCATTAAAAGGGACAACATTTCAACATTCTAAAAACAATGTGACTGCTGCAGCAGCTCGCAGTATTTCCACTATTCTCTGTTAGTAGTAGCGGATTACTTACAGCCCCTTTGCAATACAGACGTAGTCGCCCCGTTGGAGTTCGAACTATTACAGACATTCTCTTTCTGTTACTATGAGAAAACAAACAGTCATTTTGAATTATTTTAATAATAATATAATATATACTGATCTCATAGAGCTGGAAGGGACCTTGAGTCCAGTCCCCTGCCTTCACTAGCAGGACCAAGTACTGTCCTTAATAGTTTTTTTTCCCCCCAGATCCCTAAATGGCCCCCTTAAGGATTAAACTCACAACCATGGGTTTAGCAGGCCAATGCTCAAACCACTGAGCTATCCCTCTCCCCAATTTTCTAATCAGATCTATGGTTCTAGGAGTAAAAGCACAGTCTGATCCACAAGTTTTCTTCCATGCGCTTGGCACATTTTAAACCAGGTCATATAAAAACACTCGTAAATGTACAATACATAACAATCTTACACATGCCGTTTCCATCTTCCGATCCTATGCTTCTTTAATCAATATGAACATAAATGGCCTGATTTATAGTAGTTTATGGCATACAGATGCACACCCACATTTGCATTCCTAATGTACACGGGCAATTACTGGGACTGCCTAAACTAATCTGGTATTTCTGAAGTTGGTAATCTGCATGCACAGATATTGGCTCATCCAATTAATGTAATTACACACAAACAAATTAGGCATGAATTGCAAGTGAGAGTTTCTATGCCTAAAACTTTTGAAAATCATGCCACAAATAATTTACCATAACTTTTCAAAAACAAAGATAAACTCACTGAACACTCCAGTTCAAAAATACAATTGATTATCATATAGAAACGTGTATTTTGTTGAACCTGATACCTTGCTCCCAGTGCTGACACACACTTCAAGATTGCAGGGGTAGAGTGCTCATCCTCTGAGAAAGAGGGAATGCTTTGCACTGCTTAACTACTACCACTCCTCTAGATCTTTCTTAAGGAATAAAACTAATGGGCTCCCATCAGGGTCCCACCTAATACAGAAGGATGGTGGCTAAGAAGTGTGTCCTAGAAGTTCAAGGAGGGAGAAGATTTTGTGGAGTGTTGTGTCCAGTTCTGAGTTCCACATTTCAGGAAAGATGTTGGCAAATTCGAGAGAGTCCAGAGAACAGCAACAAAAATGATTAAAGGTCTAGAAAACATAACCTATGAGGGAAGATTGAAAAAATTGGGTTTGTTTAGTCTGGAAAAGAGAAGACTGAGAGGGGCATGATAGCAGTTTTCAAGTACATAAAAGGTTGTTACAAGGAGGAGGGAGAAAAAATGTTTTTCTTAAGTCTGAGGATACAACAAGAAGCAATGGGCTTAAATTGCAGCAAGGGAGGTTTAGGTTGGACATTAGGAAAAACTTCCTAACTGTCAGAGTGGTTAAGCACTGGAATAAATTTCTAAGGAAGTTGTGGAATCTCCATCATTGGAGATTTTTAAGTGCAGGTTAGGCAAACACCTGTCAGGGATGGTCTAGATAATACTTAGTCCTGCCATGAGTGCAGGGAACTGGACTAGATGATCTCTCAAGGTCCCTTCCAGTCTTATGATTCTATGTCTGTGTGTGTGTAACAAGGCTGGAGGTAATTAATATCACTGTTGTATATGGAAGGCAACACCTTTAACTCTGGACAGCAAAAGATACTAGAAAAATATCAACAGTTTGGAGGGAATTCAGAGAAGAGCAACAAAAATTATTTTAAAGATTTACTTGCAAAAAAAGAATAAAAGCGTATGAGGAAAGAGTTAAATTACCATGGATATGCTAACACTCTACCTTATGCATTTTTGACCCCAAGAAGAATTGGTAGAATTGTTTAAGCAGGTATAACTAGGAGTAATGGGATAAAAATGAAAAAAAATTAGGCTGAATGTTAGGAAAACTACGTTTGGGGTATATTAGATGGCAGAACAGTCTCCCATAGGAAGTGGTGGTAATCACTTGAATCATTTCTAACTGGACACTCAAGAATATACTGTAGGGAACAATCCTGCGCTGGCAGGGGTATCAATTAGATGACTTAATGGGTGTTTTTCACTTCTAAGTTTTATGTATGTTATTAAGGGACCTAGGCACTGTTCCCACAGATGAAGCAAGAAAGCTGATTTCATAAATCCTGGCAAAATGCCAATAAAAAGAATACTATCAGCACACTGTAAACTATGCAAACAAACCTCCTGCTTTAGGAGAAATTATTCAACAAATGAATGCAGGGTTCTTCAAAACATACAAAGGAGTGAACAATGGGGACTTTCATGTTCCTCTTAATTTTGCCTTACTAGTAAATTGCATTTTGTGAGTTTCCCCCCAATTTCCAAAACATGGATTCGTTCATCTGACATGCTACGAAGCTAGGCAGAATCTCCCACCACATGGAGTTTTGTGCCTCTTTCCAGTAGCAATCTGTGCACTAAAGATTCAGAAAAAAATTCCTAGCAAATAATTAGCTTTATTCTTACATTCAAAACAAAACAAACTACATAAAAAGAACAGTAGGATTTCAAAGTAGAGCATACACAAGTCAGGAAATGTCAAAGTTAAGATTGGTCACACAACCTTAACTCTCTCTGCAACTTTAACTCTGCCCCTTGTGCACACACATTCAGTACCGAGTTTGAGTCTCCACTTCTCTACAAGACTTTTGTAGAGAACAGACCGTAGAATTGGGTCCTGTGAATGAAGCAAGGGTACATAACAAATAGGGCCCTTCCAAATTCACAGTCCATTTTGGTCAACTTCACAGTCATAGGATTTAAAAAATCATAAATTTCATGATTTCAGCTATTTAAATTTAAAATTTCACAGTATTGTAATTGTAGGGGTCCTGACCCAAAAACGAGTTGGGGGGAGGAGGGGTCACGGTATTGCTGCCCTTACTTCTGTGCTGCTGCTAGTGGCGGCGCTGCCTTCAGAGCTGGGCAGCTTGAGAGTGGCGGCTGCTGGCCAGGAGCCCAGCTCTGAAGGCAGAGTTGCTGCCAGCAGCAGCACAGAAGTAAGGATGGCATGGTATGGTATTGCCACCTTTACTTCTGCACTGCTGCCTGCAAAGCTGGGCCCTCAGTCAGCAGCTGCCACTGTTCGGCTGCCCAGCTCTGAAGGTATCAGCACAGAAGTAAGGGTAGCAATACCGCGACCCCCCTAAAATAATCTTGCGACCCCCCTGAAACTCCCTTTTGGGTCAGGACCCCCAATTTGAGAAACGCTGGTCTCCCCTGTGAAATCATTATAGTATACGGTAAAAGCACACAAAAGACCAGATTTCTCAGGAGGAGACCAGATTTCACGGTCCATGACATATTTTTCATAGCCATGAATTTAGTAGGCCCCTAATAATGAATGAGACATGGCTTAGTTCAGAGCCTCAGTTTGGTTGAAATTCTGAGGATATTTTGGAAATAACAGAATGCAATGGTAGAATTAAAGTATATTGTAAATACCCAGGCACAAGGGGACAGAGTAAAGACTTTTTGAGCAATCTTAGAATTGGCATGTCCTGACTTTTCGGTACTTCACTTTACAACCTTTTTAAAACAAACCAAAAAACAAAAAGTTTTTTGTAGAACTTTGCTTCCTTCTGTGCGCACCTTCAGTCACCATATGGAATGAACAAGGACTCCTGGTAAGTCCGATAAGATAAAGTACATGGGAGAGCATTTGTCTTCCTCGTCTCTTGGACTGAACTTTCTCCTGACAGGCTTTGCCCTGTTGAGTCTCCTACTCACAGCAGATATGTAGGACACTCTTTTATCAAAAAGAGTCCAGAAGCTCTGCAGCAAACTAATGAGCCAGGGGAGCTTCCACCCTCTCCTGGGTCCTGGAATTGTGTGAGCAACCTCATCCTCTTTGCTAGAGTAAGATGCTACTATGGATGAGGGAGGGACAGGATAACAACAAGAGAGACTTCTATCTGTGAGCCCAAAGAGAATCCATGAAGGGCCAGAAAAGATCCCTGTAGTCAAAAGATGCAGGGACTTTCTGTGACCAGAAACCCTTCTACTCCCAGTGCTTGGGTTCCTGGATGATGACTCCACTCCCTTTATGGAGGTCGCAAAGCAAGTCCAGACATCCACAAGATCCAGTGAGAGCCATGGGGGCACATCTGAGGAACATTCAGAGAAGGCAAGGAAGAGGGAAACACAACCTAGACAAACCTTCCCCCTCACCATCCTCTTCCTCTTCAGCAGGCCAAGTCAACTTGCCACAGAAATAGGCAACAAAGAAGGCCCAAGCAACAGCTGAGTCAAACCTGGCCTTGGTCCACAGAACTGAGGGAGGTCAGGCATTAGAAGTGGCAGAAAAGCCCAGTCTGACTGGTACAACCCAAACCCAGGTGCAAAGCACAAAACATCTCCATCTTCTCAGCAGAGGGAGAATCTATGGGCCTTACCCTGTTATGCTAAGGTTCTCTTACACAGCCAGAGTGGTCAAAGGATCCTTAGTGTAAATGAGAATTAGGCCTGAAGTGGTCTCCTGCTGGGAAGCAGAAGGGACACTGGAATTTGGGTGGTCAGGCTGCTCCCAAAAAAGGGCATGAAATTTCCCTCAAGTGGGAGATTCCCTCTACTTGTGTGGAAATCATGAATTATATTTTGCACTTATACAGTGCTTTTCATCTGACATTCTCGAAGCATTTTATTAAGGCAAGGTGAGAATCATTAGCCCCATTTTACAGGTGAGGAAATTTAGGCGCAGAGAAGTGAAGTGATCTGCCTAAGGTCACACTGAAAGTCTCTGACAGAGCTAGAACTAGAAAAGATGTCTCTTGACCCCCACTTCCACGTCTGACCACTAGACCTCTAATTCCCATTTGTAAGAAGGAGCAATTTATTCACCCCAGATTGAGGGAAATGGCAAATCTAAAGGAAAATGGATGATTTAACTAGCCAACCAACTATAATTTCTTTAGATTCCAGTGAACCTTTTTTTGCGACCAGGGGCTGCTAACAGGGAGTTTCGCAAGGGAGTTCTCCAGGTGAAGGAGGAGCAATACAGCACCCTTTTGGGGTAAGTGACTGTCTGTAGTATGTGTTTGTTTGTGTTTGGGGGTTACTTGCTGTGTGCTGAGCTTGTGTTTGTCAGTCTGTTTGTTTGGTTGGTTGTTTGAAGGACGGTGTGCTGTGGCTGGCAGTTGGAAGCTGTGAGCTTCAAAGGAAGGTTTGAAAGCTAGAAGCCTCTGGTAAGTGCCTGAGCCTTAATCAGTGGGCGGAGCATTCATACAGGCCAGGGCTTTATAAAGCAGTGCACAAGCGACCAGGGAGCTTTTGCGAACAGGGGCTGCTAACAGGGAGTTTCGCAAGGGAGTTGGGAAGGGGGCGACGGTCCCTTGCCGGTTCCATCTGTTTTCCCTTTATTCCCCTTAAAACCTATAAACCAACTACATTCAAAACTTCTTGCTTAAACAACCCTTTCAGCGGATAGGGGGCTGCAGACGGGAGTTTGAGAGGGAGTTTGACAGAGGGAGGCTTACGATGGTTAGGAAGACCCGCAACACCTGTGCCAGCACTGCTTCTGTCTCCTCCATCTGCGCGTGTAGCCAGACAGAGCACCTGAGCATGGATGCTTCTACCCAGATCCTGGTGTGGTTTTGCAGAGACTGTAACTTGCAATTTCCACTTACTGATATCCAGGCTGGGGGGACCATCCAATGTGAAAGGTGCCTGCTGGTGGAATCTCTCAGGCAGCAGGTGGGAGAGCTACAGGAGGAGGTGGCTAGGTTAAGGAGCATCCGAATCCACGAGCAATTCCTGGACAGTGTCCATGTGGAGACAGCTGAGGTAGCTGTCCCAGTACACAAGACTGCTGATACACCACTGGTGGAGGAGGAGATGGCTCAGGGTGGACACTGGCAGCTGGTTACTTCTGGCAGCAGGCAGTGCTCCACCCCTGCTCTGAACCCTCCCGCCATGGTAATAGGTAACCATTATGCTCTTCTTGATACAGGAAAGAAGGAATCACCCCCTATAGTAAAGGAGGAGAAGCCTCGTACCCCTAAGGCTTTGAGGTCTGCTGCCACCACTGCGAATAGGAAACATAGGGTAGTGGTGGTCGGAGACTCTCTGCTGAGGGGGACGGAGGCGCCCATCTGTCGCCCTGACATTTCATCTCGGGAGGTATGCTGCCTGCCGGGAGCCCATATCCGAAATGTTACGGAGGCATTGTCGAGGATTATCCAGCCCTCTGACTACTACCCCATGCTACTCATCCATGTGGGCACAAATGATACTGTGCGGTGTGACACTGAGTGGATCAAGAGTGACTACAGGGCTCTGGGAGTACGGGTGAAGGAGTTTGGAGGTGGTATTCTCTTTGATTCTTCCTGTCAAAGGTAGGGGCCCGCGCAGAGACAGATGCATCATGGAGGTGAATGCCTGGCTGCGAAGATGGTGTCGCCAGGAGGGCTTTGGCTTCCTCGACCACGGGATGCTATTCGAGGAAGGACTGCTAGGCAGAGATGGCGTTCACCTTTCAAGGAGGGGAAAGACCCTATTTGGACACAGACTGGCTAACCTAGTGAGGAGGGCTTTAAACTAGGTTCGACGGGGACAGGTGAGCAAAGCCCACAGGTAAGTGGGGAACATGGAGACCTGGGAGATGGGTCGGAAATGAGAGGGAGTGTGGGCTATATTGGCAGAGAGAAAGGAGGGTCAGGACAAAACTGGGAGGAAAGATCAAACCAGGATCTTAGATGCCTATATACAAATGCGAGAAGAATGGGTAATAAGCAGGAAGAACTGGAAGTGCTAATAAATAAATACAACTATGACATTGTTGGCATCACTGAAACTTGGTGGGATAATACACATGATTGGAATGTTGGTGTGGATGGGTACAGCTTGCTCAGGAAGGATAGACAGGGGGAAAAGGGAGGAGGTGTTGCCTTATATATTAAAAATGTACACACTTGGACTGAGGTAGAGATGGACATTGGAGACGGAAGTGTTGAGAGTCTCTGGGTTAGGCTAAAAGGGGTAAAAACCAAGGGTGATGTCATGCTATGAGTCTACTACAGGCCACCTAATCAGGTGGAAGAGGTGGATGAGGCTTTTTTTAAACAACTAACAAAATCATCCAAAGCCCAAGATTTGGTGGTGATGGGGGACTTCAACTATCCAAATATATGTTGGGAAAATAACACAGCGAGGCACAGACTATCCAAAAAATTCTTGGACTGCATTGCAGACAACTTTTTATTTCAGAAGGTTGAAAAAGCTACTGGGGGGAAGCTGTTCTAGACTTGATTTTAACAAATAGGGAGGAACTCGTTGAGAATTTGAAAGTAGAAGGCAGCTTGGGTGAAAGTGATCATGAAATCATAGAGTTTGCAATTCTAAGGAAGGGTAGAAGGGAGAACAGCAAAATAGAGACAATGGATTTCAGGAAGGCGGATTTTGATAAGCTCAGAGAGCTGATAGGTAAGGTCCCATGGGAATCAAGACTGAGGGGAAAAACAACTGAGGAGAGTTGACAGTTTTTCAAAGGGACACTATTAAGGGCCCAAAAGCAAGCTATTCCGCAGGTTAGGAAGGATGGAAAATGTGGCAAAAGACCACCTTGGCTTAACCACGAGATCTTGCATGATCTAAAAAATAAAAAGGAGTCATATAAAAAATGGAAACTAGGACAGATTACAAAGGATGAATATAGGCAAACAACACAGGAATGCAGGGGCAAGATTAGAAAGGCAAAGGCACAAAATGAGCTCAAACTAGCTA